ACTTATCTAAGAAGTGTCAATCCACGTGGTCACAGACTTTTTCAAAGTCTATGAAGATGATCGCTGCATTGCCCTTGGAGTGCCTTGTTAATTTGATCATCTCGTTGACTAATAGGATGTTATCCTGGATGTTTCTATCTTGAATGAACCCCGTTTGGTTTGGATGTATGATGTCCGCCATTACCGGTGTTAATCGATTGGCGAGTGCTTTGGCCATAAGTTTATAGACAACAGTGAGGAGGGTGATAGGTTTGTAGTTGCGTACATTTGTTCTTGCCCCTTTCTTATAGAAAAGTGTTAGTATTCCTTGCCCCACCAATTCCCCTGTTTGTTCTGACAACCATACCGCGTTATAGTAGTCCATCAGGTCTTGTGATATGCATGACCACATGACTTCCCAGAACTCCTTGGGTAGGCCATCTATGCCTGGGGTTTTATCCTCTCCCATTTGTATCAGTGTCGTCCATATTTCGTCCTTCGAAAGGGGTCTATCCAAGGCTTCTCTTTGTTGTTCCGAGAGAGATTTGTTGAGGGGGCGCAAAAAGTCTTCTATTTCCTCCCGTCGCTGTGTTTCTGGTTGACGCCCGCATTCTGACGTGAATAGTTCCTGGTAAAAGTCTCTTGCGATTTTCGTGCAGGCAGCTAAAGAGGTAAAAAAGGTCTCTTGGTTGCTCTTTGGGTCTTCTAGTGCCTCTATTACCGTTCTTCCTGTTTTAACTTTGGCCAATGCAAAGAATCGGGCGTCCATTGCGCCTTCCATATTGTGTCTGGAGAGTTTGCCCCGGATCCTGATACCTTGCCATCTGTGTTCAGTGTACTTTAGAAGTTGTGTTTCGAGAGTTTGGATGGTCATGGCTATCTCCGCCTGTTGTTCTAGGTTTTTTGTATTCACTTCTTGTTGTTGTAATGTGTACAGTTGGTGTTGCAGGTTTACTTCTTCTGCATGCCGTTGTGCAGCAAGCAACTTTGAGTATTCATTGCACTTGCGGTCTATAAAGGCAAGGCCGTTGTTGAACCATAATATGTCGTCTTCAATCTGGTCCTTTTGGTGTTGCCAGAAGGACCACACATCCTTGAGGTAAGTTTTAAAGCGGTCTATTGTTAGGAGGGATGTGTTGAGTTTGTAGAATCCCCTACCTTGGTCTGTTTTTTTTCGGAACGAAAAGATGGCTGTGCACATCGCGTGGTCTAGCCCCAGGTAGGGACTGCGGGGAAAGATTTATGCCATCTGGAGGGTACCCTGTAGTTCTTATGAGATCATGATTAAGTCGATTCGCGATTTTGATGCTTTCTCTGTGCTATTTTTGCGGAAGCAGGTAAATCTTCGGTTGGTAGGGAAATGTCTCCGAAAGGTGTCGAAAATGTTTATGGATTGTGAGAGTTCTCTGATCATTCTCTCGTCTTTTTTTATATAGATTGGGCATGGCGATGAAATTTTCCACCTGTCCAGCCAGCGGTCCGGTGCCGCATTAAAGTCGCCTGCCAGTATCGTGGGGATTCTCACTAGCAGTTTTTCCTTGAGAGACTCAAGGAAGTTTTGTCTTGCGGGGGGGGCGTTGGGGGCGTATATATTCAGAATGTTGACCACCTCTATTTCCAGCATTGCCAGTAGGTAGACCCATCTCCCTTCTTCTTGGTCTGCCGCCCAGTTGAGCATTTCCACTTTTGTTCCCAGGGGTAACCATATGGCTACCCCAGCGCTACCGGGTCTCGGGGCGTGAGCCCTAAAGGCCTGATGCGGCCATATTTCCTTGTGGATATGATTATGTTCAAGGCTGTCCATTAGCTCAGTGTCTTGCAGGCACACGACGTTCGGGCTGTCTTTCCCTTCTACCCCTTTCAGTTATTCGAGAATTGCTTGCTTTTTGGGTTGTTTTGCTGCTGCAAGGCCATTGACGTTAAGTGTGCGCAGGTCTAGGCCCGCCTGTCATTTTTGTTGCTTCCAAGTTTTGTCCTTCCCATACAAGGCGTCCACTACATTCATCGCTTTGTTGTTTGTACAGAGGTGGTTCTTTTAGAGCTGCACCCACTTCTCTGTGTCCAGGAGGTTGCTCTTCTGTAGAAACCCGGTCCTAAGCAGTTTAACCAAGAAGGCCCCGATGTCTGCTGCTGACCACAAATCTCCTGCTTTAATCTTTAGGAGTTGCAGGTCCAGGAGGGTGTTTTGGTCCATCCACCGCAGATCTTCTATTTTCTGGTTGTTATATCGCAGGAAGATGTCCTTGGTGCCCATCCTATGTCGTCCGCAGGATTGCACTAGGGTCGAGGTAGCCCCTGTTGGGAGGTGTTCCTTAGTGAGTTGGGTTATATCTGTGCTGCTAGGAATCATACTTCCTGCCCACGATGTCAGGGAGAGGAAGAAGGAGGAGCAACCTTTGAGGGTGACCTCACCGTGTGCAGCCTCAGGAGGCGTCGACAAACCCACCTCCCAGACCCCTTCTTTTTGTCTTACCGGGAGGAGGACTATGCCTTTTTCGGAGGGGGCGGCGTCAGAAGGTGTCTCTTCCAGTAAGTGACGAAGTTTTTGTCTTTTGCTGGTAAGATCACCATCTGGTGGTTTTGGAGGGAGTGTGGTTTCCGGTTCCCATGATGCAAGCGCCATGCACAGTCCTTCTGTTTGTGCGTCCTGACCTTCCATTTTTTCTGACGGGGGTTCTTCTCTCAGTTGCTCCGTTGGATTTTGAGGCTCCTCGTTCTTGGCATCCTGTTCCTCCTTTCCATCATGTTCCTCCTTTCTTAGTGATCCTGTGTCCTGCTCCTCCTGCGATTCTTTTATGCCGTTTCCTTCGTGCGGCTCTTGTCTGTGTTGGCCCTCCTCGTCTTTCCTTCCTTCTATGGATGTTTTTGTCTTCTCTACTTTTGTTCCTTGGCCGCTCTTCGGGTGTGATTGGCTTGTTTCCTCTTCTTTTGTCACCTCCTCCTCGCCATGGTGTGTTGTTTTATCTTGCCCTGTGGAGTCCTCTCCATTCCTGGGGGGCGAGGGAGAGCTGTTTGGTTTGGGAGTCGGGGGGTGGAGGCGGTTAAGGATGATATGGAGGATCTTGTGGCAGATGTCAGGCCAATCTGTCCCTTATGGTAGCCCTTGTGTAATGGCTTTGTGGAGGCTCTCACTGCTTTCCAACAGAGGGATAAGGTCCCTGTAGATTTTGTCCCAGAATTCCTCATTTTCATCTCCATATTTGATCTGCAAGCTATCCATTAGCCAGTCCGCCACCTCCTGCAGGCCTACCTTTTGAGTATTGTTGGCGTCACTTCCTTCTGAGTCCACCGGACTTTGTACTTCTGTCATTTCCACATCCGGGGGGGGGGGGGGGGGGGGGGGGGGGGGGGGGGGGAGGGGTCCTAGCGAGGATCTCGACTTCCATCGGTTCTGGACCAAAGGCATCTTTCAGCAGGTCCTCCTGCTTACGGTCCTTTCTTTCAACCTGCTTTCTTGTTTCCTCTTCTGTTTGCAATGGGACCTCTTTTGTGTGACTAGGTTCCCCGTGTTGCCATGTCGTCCCTCTGGTTTCTGTCCACAGCCTCCCTGTAGGTATGTACTCTTTTGCAGTAGGGCCCCACCTCTGCTGTTTTTGCTTCTCCCCGGGCTGCCTGGTCGGTGTTGTAGTCGATTTGTCCTTCTCTTGTGGGGTGGGGGGGGGTAACCGCTTGGTGACTGACACGGTTTTCTCTGATTCTTTGGGAAGATGTGGGAGCTTTTCAAGTTTCTCGGGTTCCTTTGGAGGGGGCGGGGTCCAGTCGTTGGGTGGTCTAGTAGTTCTGCAGGGGTCCCCCCGCCCCTCCCATGTCCAGCCCTTAGCCTGGCCTTTGAGGTCAAGGTCCTCCAGGTACACCCACCCCTCGTGGCCCTGATCCACTGTGCACCATCGGTTTGGTCTGCGTAAATCGCGGTGTAGACGGCATGCCAGCGGTCCTTTTTTGTTGGGGTGTTGCGGCCAGGCCGATTCCGTACACAGGTGTCCGTATGCCCTGCATTTGAAACACCACGGTCTGAATTTGTGCGTTGTGTGAATTTGGTACACTCTCCCACCCATCCTGTAGGGAATGATATCATCTATTGAGAAGAGCTGATCATTTGGGAGATCCAGTGCAAGCATCATATAGTCATCCCGTTTTGCTACGTAAGCCGAGAGCGGGTCGATAAAATCTACAATATTATATTGCTGCCCAAAGTCATATACGAAAGCCACCTGCACCTCCACCGGGATGTGCCTCAGTTCCACCCAATAGCAATCTTTCATAAGTTGTTCCCTTTTTTCTTCAGGGGTTAGTTTTTTCGGCTGCCATGGGTAGATGCGTACGTCCGATCTCTCCCACCTAACTGTCTTCCACCCGTCCATTCTTTGTTTGTCCTGGGTAAAAAGACTCAAGACGGTGAACACAGTTGAGGAGAGAGGTTGAATAAGAAAGAATTCTTGCACCACCTCCGGACTGCCTTTCATCTCCTCCAAGCGTCGACATATCCACTTTATTTTATCATTAACTGATCTGTGGGCTACGTCTCCATGGAACAACCAATTGCTCGAGTGTTTGATGTATACTTCATCTCCTGCTTCGAGCTTGCTTTCTGGATACGTCCTCATCATTGTCTTTCTTCCTCCTTAGTCCACCACTTGGTTTTCCGATGGGAGGAGGAAGAGGGTGAGGAAATAGGCCCTCGCCGATGAGAGATTTCGGAGAGGTACCTTCTGAACCTCTTCTTCTCCTTGTCGTGTATCCAGGGGAGGTCGTTTAATTTCGAGGGTTTTCTCCTGGATCGTATTCCTGACTCTTTGGGCCCATGAGGCTTTTGTTCCACCTTCTGCGCCTTCTTGCTTCTTTACACCCTTGTTTTCTCGTTGCCTTGCCTCACTGTGCTTCTCTTCTTCCGTCAGCATCTCCCCTTCCGACACTGTGCTCTCCATTTCCTGATCTTGGTCGGGGTGTGTCCCTTGTTCGTTTTGTATCTGGCCAGGGCTAGCGTGCTCTGTTGCAGGCTTGCGGCCCCGTAAGGACTCTTCGGGGGTTGGCCAGTGGGTTGGGTTCAGGAGAGATGTTTCAAGATTGGGGGGGAGAGATCGATGCATCCGTAGTGAGGCTGTGTAACCGGTTGAACGTCGTGAACGCGCGTTCAATCCCCCATGCCCCGCGTTCAATCGCATTTAAACGCGCTGCACACGCGCGCGTGCGAAAAAATTGAACGCGGTCCCGCGGGGCGCGCGCGCGCGACTGGGGCTGCGGGTTGGTGGTCCGAGCTCAACAAACCGCCAAAGTGCGAAAACCGCCCCCCGGGACCACCACATACACCCCCCCCCACCCGCGGTCCCCGCCCCCGAAACCACCACCTGCCAAGCCCCGACTCCCCTACCCCCACCCAACGGAGGGCCACCCACCCCCGGGGACGTTTTTTTTTTTTTTTTTCCCCAGCCCACAATTACAACCCCCCAAACCACGCCACCCATTTACAGGGAGGAGGTCGAGGATCAGAGACGTTCATGGCTGCGAGACCCATGTGGGTCCAGAGCTCCTCCGGGTGATGTGGACGATGTTTTCGGGACTCGAGCCGCCACATTGCACCCGTACCCTCGAGACGACAGTGATTCCGAGGGTCACGAGGACAAGGACGAGTCGGCGGGCCCCGCTAGCACCACTCCTGCGGCGGATGAGCGTGATGAGTGGAGCGACGGAGAGGACGTCCGTAGACGGAGTGGCGGAGATGACCTTTTCATTCAGGTTGATTTGGAGGAGGAGTCTGGGGGTCGTCATGGGATCCCTTTAGAGCGTCCGAGGCCTACGTCCACCGTTTCGCTTTCCGCTGAGCGGGAGACGGATCCTGGGTCTGCACCTTCGAGGGGGTCAGAGTCGGGGATTGGCCATCGTCCTCTGGGTCGCTCTGGCACGACATCATCCACCGCTCTTCCCACTTCGACGGAGCAGCTTCATCGACAGCCAGCCGTTGCAGATCGATTGCAGAGATTGGTGAGGGGTCCGAGACAGCGATTGGAGGACAGATTGGAGGGCGGTCCTGTGTCGGTGCAGGGTGACGACGGAGACAGACAAGGGTTGGTTGGTGGAGATGGTGGTGCGCTGGCCGGAGGTGGAGGCGGTGCCGAGGCTGATGCGGCGGTTGAGGGGATACCGATGGGCGGCGGAGGTGGTTTCAGTGAGTTTGGCGATATGGGTATGCCCCCAGGAGAGAGTGTGGGTCTGGCCCTAGGAGAGAGCGAGTCCGGGGGGGACATCAGTGTGGGTATGTAGGACTTATTGGGACAGATCAGCTTCGCGGACCCGAGTAGTTTCTCCCCTACCATGTGCGCAGAGGTGATGTTGGGGGCAGAGGGGGATGAGGACCGAACACCCCCTGGAGAGACATCTGCAGAGAGGCTGGATAGGCTTGATAGTCGTCGAGCGTGCCTCATGGCACAGAGGGACCCCAGGATGCAGGAGCTCGCCCGTCTTGCGGCCGAGGACCGACATAGGCAGCAAGGGACATTTACGCCGGCGTCTGTTGACGCGAGGCCAGCTGCCCACACGGATACTCCGACAGAGGTTTATGACACGACGCAGCGGGAGGCAGCTTCGGCAGAGGTTTCGAGTAAGGGAGTGGATGTCCAGCAGGGGACGCTCGAAAGCGGGTTGGCACCGACAGAGGAGCTACGTTCGGAGCCGGCGCAGCATCCTGCCGTGGAGCGGAGGCCAGAGGAGACATTGAAGGAGGTCGCGGGCGTGCCTCTGCCTGCGGGTTCAGTCGAGGGTGCCGTGCATATGTCCCCGGGTCTGGAGGACATACCGACAGGGCAGTCAGTGGGCGTTGATGATATTCGCCCATCGGCACAGGCGGAGGGGATAGCGCCGACCACCGGGGGGGACGGGGCCGTAGCGGGGACCGTTGGTGCTGGCGGGTCGGGGGTGCCGTTCGCGGCCGATCCGATGTCCACGTCTGGCAGGGTAGACCCCGCACAGGTGGACAGGCGTGACGCAGACGGACAGGAGATGCCACAGACTTTGGTGGTTCGCACTGCTGTGGGGCCAGTGGTGCCACATCGGGCACCGTTTTTTGAGGGTTTTAGGCATCCTGCACATGGCGGTGGCCCGGTCGAGGAGCGACGTGTAGGCAGGGGCGCGTGCATACCCCCGGTCCCTACTTTTGCGCCGTCACGGACGAGGCCGGAGATTAGGCATGTGGCTACGCCTCGAGGCAGCCTCCCTTTTGGTTTTATGACCGCTGAGGAGTTGGAGGACCACGGCAGGAGGGATTTGACGGAGATCGACCAGCGAGTTTTGAGGTCAGTCCCAGGGGAGGGGAAGCTGCCTCACGTGCAGGACTTATCTTGGGGGCCATCTAGCCCCAGCTTACCTTCTGGGTGTTCCGTCGCAGCGTCATCTGGTGTCCTACTCTCGTTCGTCCCCTTCCACGAGGGGCGAATCCCGATACCTCCCTCCACGTCCAACAACGACTCATCTAGAGTCCACGGCATCGCGAACCCGCGACCTGCTCGCTGATGAGATAGAAGGCGGACGTTGGCTGAGATCTCAACCAACTTCGCGACCTTCTCGAACTCAAGCCGGTTACGCTTCTTGGTCTGTACACCCTTGTGGACGGCCCAATTCCTCTCCGCAGGAGAGGAGCGCGTCCACATGTACATCACACGAAGAGCGATAACCTGCAATCTATGAATCCCCCTCGGCGGCGGACAGGCGCGGCCAAGTCCGCGGCCGCGGCCGAGTCCGCGACCCCGCGGACGCGTCCGCGCGGACGCGCGTCTTCGCGGACGCGTGGCGGCCGTTGGGGAAGGGGGTTTGGGAAACGGGAAGCGCCACGTGGCAGCGCAACCCCAGCCCCACCCCATCAGGCAAAAAAAACGAAAAAAATCTAATTTTTGGTTGGGGGGTTAAGGGCGAAATCGAAAAAAATAGGGAAAAAACACGCGTTTTTTTTTTCTTTTTCTTTTATTTCTTTTTCTTTCGTTGATTGATTGATTGATTGATTGATTGATTGATTGATTGATTGGTTGGGGCGGGGTTGCCCCGCGCCCCTTTGATTGATTGATTGATTGATTGATTGATTGATTGATTGATTCGATTTTGCTTTTTTTTTTTGATTGGTTGGTTGATTGATTGATTGATTGATTGATTGATTGATTGATTGATTCGCAGGGGATGGGTCGCCCCACCCCCGCGACCACGGGCGCACACACACACACACACACACACACACACACACACACCACCAAACACACACACACAATCGCGCGGCACACACGGCGCGCAAACACACGCGCGGCACACGCGCACAGACACACACAAACACACACACACATACACACACACACACACA